GGGCGGGCACCGGGTTCCCGCTTCTCCCAGGCCACGATCCCGGCCCACGCAAGAGGCTCCCGCGCCCATCGTGGAGGCTCCGCCTGGAAAAGAAGTTCGACTTCCTCTCCAAGCTGCTCCGAGGGGAATCGGAAATCGGCAGGAAATGACCAGAACTGCCAGCCTGCGCCTTTGCAGCCGGCCCTCGCTTTTCTGAAGACGAGCAGCTCCCACCAAAGTCTTGCCTCCCCCTACCCCGAAAGCCCCGCTCAGGTTTGTAAAGAGGGGTGCGAGATCTGAAAAGTATTTGTCTTCTAGGGAGAGAGATGTTGGTAAGGGGCCCAGTGAAAGACGGGTCCTTTTTAGCTCATCAACCCACCACGTCTTGCTTTGCAGCTCCAAAATGATGCCAGCGCAGCTGTCCTAAGGGTCAATATTAATGCGTTAAGTGGAATGGGAAATAAATGGACAGTGGCACATTTCGTGGCATCATTTTTATAAGGGGGATGTCCAAAGTTTTAAGCTGCATTTAAGAATTAGCCACATCTTGCCAGAAAGTTAATATTTTTTGATAAACTCGTTAATAAAGCCTAGAAGAGGTAAGCTAAAGTTAGTTACCACGTAGATCCTCCAGTCACTTGTAGAAACTTGCACAGGTTACTAAGATGAGGACGACTTGTATTTTTAATTTTCTAGACTAAGTGCAAAGGCATTGAGTTTTGAGGTGGCAAGGTTAATGTTCAAGGACAAATGGAACAGCCAAGGATCTCTTGAAAAGCATTCACTTGCTATTAATACGTAAGCCTGAAATAAATAGAATTAATTTACAGTGGGAATTATATGCCCATGTTTTAGACTTTTTTGTTATATTAGCTATATGAAAAGGGATGCTCTTTAGTGATTTAAAAAAAAAAAAACCACCTGTTTGTTGTCATTTGCAATTTGAAATAGCCCACAGCAGTAAGGCTAGCTAAAAAAGCTAACAAGTCAACTTCAGTGTGGTTTGACATTTACTATCAAAGCTTTGAACGCTAAGAAAAACAGAATTTAAAAGAATGCATATAAATAATAAAATTTCATTGTGACTCAATGTCCCTGCTCCTGGAGAAGGGACAGATGACACTCAGTGACTGACTTGGAACCATTCCGCCTGCAGATGCATTTGTGGATACAGTGGGTCAGGGCTGCCTCTGAGTATGTACAGCAAGTGCTTATGAACTTACAGAAACAAATGTTTTACTATCTAGGATTTTCTCAATAGTTTACTCTTAAAAGTTTTGCATGTAGAAACGTAGGATAAATATTTCTTCGAAAGGAAAAGTTTTGAAAGGAAACTTTATACTTCTATTATTTTTTTCTGTGTTCACATTTCAAAGTTCATCTGTCTTTCAAAAAACATTTTCATAAATATTAAAACACTGCAACTATTATTTTTAATTCTTTTGAGCACCACGTTTGCTGTAAGTAGTTTTTAAAGTAAGATTAATATAATCCTGTTAAAGGAGTTTAATAGAGAGAACAGGATTTCCAAGCCTGTAAATGCAGTCTATATAAAATAGTGAGATCAAAGCTTTTTGTTAAGAAACTTGAGAATGTATACATTTTAAATGAAGATAGAAACACGTTTTAAAAGTATTTTTTCCACACCATTTCCCTCCCCGCCAAAAGAATTCAGAGACTATATTCCATAGTCTAAAAATGGCATAATCAGATGTAAAAATTATTACCATAATATATAGTTCTCTCAAGATGGTGGATACTTTTTAATATATTATGAAGAAAGAGTTATATTCTCAGCTTACTATAGGTTTGAGGGAATGCAAAAGACGTTTCCAAACACATTTTACTCCTGAAATCTATGAGACTATTAAGCTGTGCAGGTAATTGTATTCTAAGTGGTAAAAGTATTTTTCCAACTGCTTTTTAAACTTTGAAAATTTTATATGTATTTTAATTAGCACTTTTATTTTAAATGTTCCAAATATTTAGCTATATCAGCTATGTGATAAAAATTATTGGAATTTGTTCCCTACTACTTTCTGCATAAACAATTGAAAATATTTTATACTAATCTTTTTATATACATGGGATAAATTTGAACATCTGTCTTGTTGGTGTAAAAACCAATCCAAATTCATTTCTTTCTTGAAAACTTGGCATCGATCTTCATCTTATTTTTTTTACGCACACAATTTGGACATGCCAGTTTGTAGGCAAGTTTTAAGACAGTGCAAAGTTTTATGTGGAAGAATGTATATTAAGGTATGAAATAGCTAATAGCCAAAATTAAATCAGGAGCTGTGGCATTCACTCCTTTGGATGATGATTTTAAAGGTAGTTTTGCACTCAGGAAGGATTTTCTTATGCTCTGTATTTATGAATATCTAAATTATCCTGCCTTGCAACTTCAAAACTCAATAACCAAATACCAAATTTATGTATTTTCAATGTGACTAAGGCTAGGAATATGAGAAGCAGATTGGTTTTATGAAAGAAAGCAAGCATTTACAATTATATTTTAAAATATAATCCTAATTTCAGTTTCTGACAGAAATCTTGTGGTCAGCTCATCAGTTTTTCAGATCAGTTTCTAAATAGCATGTAAAAACTACCTTTTCCACATCAGAAGTTCATATTTAGGTTTCCTTAACTGCAAAATCACTTTAAAAGAGAGTGTTTTATGTGAAGGACCATTTCATGTGTTGGTTCCATCGATTACATATGAATGTATAAAAATCTTGTTTAAAGACCAGTAAAAGTGAGGAAATTCCAAGTCAGGCTAGCTAATTCCATTCATAATTCATCCCGAGTACCTGACTGAGGAAACTTGCAAACAGTTTATAGCTATACATACAAAATAAGTTGACTTGCTTTGTAAGCTGGAAGCAGAGTTAAGTTTGATCTCCCTGCTTGGAAAGTCTTAAATTAATAAAATTATGGAATATGGTTAAGCTTTTCTGTTTCCCAGGAATTTTCCAATATCAATGCTTTTTGGATTTTTGCATTTTGAAAATGTAAGCATGGAAAGGCAAATTTTTTGTGCTGAGATGAAGTTAACTTTCACCCATCCATTTCCTTCCCACTTACACATTTGTTCAGTAATTCTTCAAGTGCTGGGGGACAGAGGTCCTGCCTTGAGAAAATAGCATATGCCATTTCTCTGCTCCCTTCAGCCATCCCCACCCCCAGCCCTCCCTTTATTCCAAGCCAGTTGGACAAGTATTTAGTATTGACACATGTTTCAAACTGCTACATCCACAGCCCTAGGTAGTTTTGGGGATTGGCAGGAAATTCATCTAGACTTTGCCTTCTGAGCTGGGA